ACGATTGATATATAATATTCGATTAGGTTAAAACCTCAATAATACATTACAAAGTAACTTTTTTAAGTAAAAATCTTAAAATTAAATTAAAATATTGAATTTAAAATACATTGAAATCCCAGCCCTAATTTTAAGTATTTCAATTTCACAGTCCTACCGTAGTATACAACTTGTATACTTGGTAAAATATTGGTGATTGGTATAATATTCCGCTCAACAAAAACTTCTTTTTTTTTTAAAACTAATTTTTGTACATTCAAATATGTCAAATTATATTCTATTTCAGAATATGAAATTAAAAATGTACGGTTTTATTAATAGCTTATGAATGTGTCTTACATTCTATGAGTTACCAAATAATATGTAAATGAAAATAAATTAACTAAGTAAGGAGTAGTTTACGTGTTTAAATGATTCTTATTAGTTATTACCATTAAACTGGAAATCAAAGATTTACATCAAAAGAGAGAATATATACTTAACAGTAAATAATATTAATATGCAATTACCCTTCATATCAACTCCCTCTACTTTCCCACCAAAAATAATAACCAGTAACTTGCAGGTATGATCTATGTTTATTATAATATTTGATTGTATTTCGGTATAGTAAATATGTAAGGATTATCTAGATTGATACCATGTAGACTCAAAAATATTTTGTTAGTTTCAAATAAAAGTACAAGAATTATAGACATTGAAACATTTCACTGTTATTTTGATGAAAAAATATAAATTAATTTAAAATTAATATAAAATACTTAAAACTAATAATTTAACACTTAATTGTATAAATAATATTTACTAAGAATTTAAAAATGAAAAATATATATATATATTGAAAATGTCCGTGGCACGCTATAGACTGCCTTTTTTTATTTTCAAATTATTTTATGTTATAAATTATTTGATGGTAACATTTAAGAATTTAATAGTTTTTATGTAAATTAAACTGTACAATAGTTTTGAATGTAACTTAAATGAAAAAGTAATAATATACGTAACATAATGAAATAATTAAAATAAATTAAACTATTTGAGTATTTTACGAAAAATTATTTTTTAAGTTACAGGTAATTCTATACATATTTACCTATTTATTTTGTGTACATCTAAATTTAAATGAATGCAATAATGATATTTCATTTTCAATCAAAATATGTAATGAATCATTCGTACACTCTATGATTTATTAATAATAAGCTAAATGGCTTTTATAATTTATAATTATATCAAAACCATTACAATATTAATATTACGATTAAAAATTTATTATTTGTACAAAAATTATTACAATGTCGAACATTGGTTCAATCATTGTAAATCATTTCTATAATTTTATTATTATCGGTTTTGCAATAATCGGTAGGATTATAAGAAGACATAATATTTAATGTTTTTACCACAGTGATCTCAAATTATACAATATATATAACATAATTGAACTATTAAGATACTTACCTGTATTATTTATTTGTTATAAGTAATACTGTATTTTGCACGGATAATCATTTTACAAAACTAATAAATTTAAGTTAACCGTAATTTACCTACGTTTATGAAATATAATTATGAGGTTTAAGTACACGATTAATTAAAATGCAAATATCATCCTTTGGAATCAATTTACCGCATGCCCTTTAATCACACCAGTCATCAGTTATTTATTGAATCTATATGTACATACTTAAAAGGAGCAGTCATGTAACTAACATACATAAGATACAGCGCACAACTACTTAAGTTTCAAAAATGTATCATGTCTCTCTAAATATTTCCTCGGTAAATGAATAATAAATATTTTGAACATGATTTTTTTTTTTTTTTTTTTTATCGTGCTCCTACACAAATAAACAAATATATTCACCATCGTTAAAAATGGAAAAATATAAATCATTCGAATATCATTACTGCTTTCGGGCATTCATATAATTTTGGGGCGATTGCAGTGTCGTTATTATATTTCTAATTAATTTCAAAAATAAATATAAAGTGTTAAAATATTATTACACCAAAATAATGATTTTTTTTTATCGTCTGAGCAGTTTAATATTATATATAGTATCATAATGTTCACACTACATGCACGAACGATATATATGATATTATTATAGAGAGAAATAAAGTATGCTATAATATTTTATTACATTTATTTATCTTGGTGTGAAATATAACCCGATATCTTGATACACGAGGCGCTTTTTAATATAATTTTGGGAAATGTCTTTAAGATGGTAGAGAATTAAAATTTAATCACATGATATTATTTTGATTTTGTTTATATGGTGTGTTTAATATTAATATAAAGTAATAAAAAATATTAAGAAATCTGCACTTATTTGCCATTATATATTATGTCGAATTATGAGCTGCTATATGATTTAGAAAATTACGTTTGAAATTACAGTATTATAGTATACAGCTCAGCTCTCAGAATTAAACGTAATTGTAATCTGAAGGACTGATTTAAAAAATATATTTTCTTTTAATAAACGTGTAAAGATAGGTAATATTGAATTACTAACACTTCTTTACAAGTTAAAAGAAATTATAAGGTACATATATAATATGCAAAGATGAACATTAACTACAAATTTACAAGTTTAAGTAAAGTTTTTTTTTTTTTTACTTTTTGTCTTAACTAATTTAATTAATCGTTGAAATAAGTTAGTTTTTTTTTTTTTTTACTTGAAAATAATCCATCAAGTTAATATAAAAAATGTATTTTTAATTGTTTTTAATGGTTTTAAATGGTACATTAAATATCGGTATATAGGTACAGTTTAAAACAAAAATAATCTAATTTTATGTATAACTTTTGTTTATTTTCTTTATAAAACAATATTATAGATAGTTATAGGTACAAAATATTTATGTATTCAACATACTTATTGAAAAAATAAATACATTTTTTAACTTCTTATTTCCTCTCCATATTAAACTTAGCAAGTTAAATTTATTATTTTTAACTATTTTAATTCTGACTAAACGATCTCGCATTTACTTATTAACTTAACTTGAATTAATTATTTTCATTAATCGCTTACCTTTCCAAAAACTTGAAAGTGTTAGTAAATAATTTAGGTCTATATAGTAAAATGGAAAATAGATAGGAAGAAGAAATACTTGAAAATATAAGTTTTAGAAATTATTATTGGATAGAAAATATATTTTTGAACACTATCGTAATACCGTATTTGGTACCTACGCGTATTATTATATCGTATTTAAATGAATACTTGACGATTCGATACCAATACGTTACGACCTTACTACAACTAATATACAAAGTATAATATAGGTGAACAAAAATCATCAACCATCACGTCACCTTATATAATAATTTGAGATCATTTAGCTCGCAATTCAAACATTCAAGCAAGATTCATAACTTGTCATGTCATATAAAATATTTTTTTTCTGGCTGAAATGTGGTTGAAAATTTTAATCGTACCTACTAACGCTATACAAATATTACCACAAAATCGAATATGTTTAAGTTTTTATCGTGTGATTACATTCTAGTAATAGTGATGTTCGTTGTTTGAATTCAGTGATTTCCTACCGGTATTTTATAGGTCTGTTATTAGTGATCAGTTAATTAAATGTTTTTTTTTCTTTTGATTTGGGGTTTTTTATTTTTTATTTAATCTCACACTCTCAGAACCTCAAGACCTAAAGTCATGTTAAAATTAAATTCAGTTTAAATTATCCGATTTTAAATCTTAAAAATATTTGAATTCAGTGGGAAAATGTCTACAGATCGTATGGAAAACTTAGTAAAAATGTAATCTCATATATTTTCTGTTAGACATTAATTGAAAACTTGATACATGGATTTTATCAAATCATAATTATAACGAAACTAAAAATGAAAAATAAAAAGTGCAGATATTTTTCTGTTGAATTTAAATCAGACAGTGTTAACTAACTTTAAATTTATCAAAACAGCAGTACAAGACCTAAGTCATCGTGAAATTCGTATTGTAAATTTTATAATTCTAATGCACGTACGCCATTCGACATTTATTTTAGAGCATAGATTCCGGGCGGCGGTGACAATGAGATTAGAAATCGTTTAATCGGGTTGTAGCCCATACGTGCAAAATATGACCCAAATGCAACCCAAAAGCGCAAAAATAAATATTTCATAAGCAAAAACTACCTTTTTGACCAACCATAAACACAAATATATTTTTAAAAAAATAAAGTTTACAGTAAAGTTTTTATTTTGTTAAAAACCATAATATAGTTATTAATATTAAATTTGAAGTTTGAAGCCCACAGTCAAATATTATTTGATATAAGTTTATACTGTATACATTGTTAAGTTATCTTAAATGATTATCAACCTTCACTGTAATTCGATACTACACTTCAACTGAACTCGATCACTGTTGATGTATTTTTGAATTATAAAAATACTATATACTTAAATAAAATGAATAATTTAATTTAATGATTAGTAATTTTAAAATGAAACTTATAGTGTAACGGGTACAAATATTTATTTTTGTGCTTTTATTCTACTACTAAGATACAAAAGCACAAAATGAATTTGCGCTTTTGGGTTTCACCGTCTAATCGTCGCCCCTCGAACAAAAGCCATTGCTAGACTCCCTTTAGTATGTAATCAACACGCTCACAGTTTTTCCGAGATAGAGGTATCCGCGACCTACAAAGAGTAATCGGCATGTGTGTGTGTGTGTGTGTGTGTGTGCGTGTGTGTGTGTGTGTGTGCGTGTGCGTGCGTGTGTGTTAGGTGTGTGCGTGTGTGTGCGTGTGTCTGTATATTTATCAGTAGTTGTAACCCACACGAGACGATAACGTTGTATACATCGAAGACGACAACGCGTCCTCCGTCGGGAGAACTCGTCGGCGACAACTGCAATCGCCGAATACGCGCGGTGACATAATATTATACATGACACGGGTGACCGACAACTATAATAATATTATGACGTGCGATATTTTCAGCGCCTAGGAATAATAATACTCACTTCTCTCGCCATCACTCCATAGTATCTCGAGCCACTCGGTTATATCAGGGGCCCGGCCACTCAGCGGCGTGACGATTGTCCGAGGTCGCGGTCGACGGCGGTACGCATCGCACCGATGACGGTCACCGTGTTGACGATGGTCGCGGTGGTAGTCGTCGTCGTCGTCGCTAAGGTGCAGTTGTTCTCACCGCCGTCACCGTCTCTCCGCGGAACCACCGCCGCTTGTGCGCGCGTGTATGGGAGCGCGGCGTCGAGAGTACGCCGTCTGCAAACGAACGTCACAAAATTGTTTGTTACAACGGCGTGATCATACAAAAACATTATGCGATAACAACACGGCAATATATTGCGCTATGAAAATTCACAGCGTGGATGGTTTTTTCGGTACATTTCCGTTTGATAACGATACCCCCCTACGGGGCGTCGGTGATTGCTCAAGCACGTACACCACTTGAGGGGTTACGCCGAATGACACAGAAATACAATGTGTTGAAATTAAAAAAATATATCGACGATATGAGAAAAATCATGGCTTTAGGTTTCATGTCGAATAAGACAAAAAAAATTTTAATACATGTGTGGCTGTGTCCTAATGGAGGACGCCGTACGCTTGATTTTGAAAAGATTTCTATTTACATTAAGTGTATTCACTATACATGTATACATAATAAACTGTACAACGATAATTTTATTTTAGGCATTCGTATTTGATTGTATTAATACATTTGATACGTATAATAATATGATGTTGTCAATGCCAGCGTATTGTATTTCGGTTTGTACCATCGTTATTATAATATGATAGTATTATGTTATATTATTATGTTAATAGTACGATGTAGTTATTAGCATTACGGTATTCCGGTGTGTATCGGTTTTACTGTTTTCTGGTACGCACTGTATTGTACGTAAATGTTGATAAACTGTATGTACCGTAAAGTAAGAATAATTAAAAACTTCTGTTATTTATTCAACACGATATGATAACTAAATATTAAATAATTCAATTACTTTAAGGTTGACTACTTGGAATTGGCCAATCAGAAACGATTGTTCGTGTAGATATATAAATATAATATATTTTATGCATTTGGAGAGTGTACATCCTTATTAAACTATAACGTTCAAATTGCATTAAAGTAGCAAAATGCTTAAAAAGGTAATATTCGAACTGCGCTCGGCCTATAGTAAAGTAATGTTCGTCTTACGCTCAATCCGCTCATTTCGTAGAGCTTATGAATATTAATGACAATTGCATTTATGAGCAAGGGTGGATTTTTAGAAGGAACCCAGGAAGCCCCTGGCCATCACAAAATCAGAGCCTCAATATAAAGTTTTTTTTTTTTAATCCAATCATCCGAATATAATGCAACTCTAATATAAATTGAAATTTGCAGTACAAATTAAAATCACAACTTCAATAAAAATATTCAATCAATGATATTTTCACTAACAAATAAATACCTAATGAAATAAATGCATAAATATAAGAATATAAATATGAATTTATATTTGTTAGTTAGGAACTTGTAAAATAATTAGTTAAAAAAAAAAAAAACAGATTTCGAATTTCGATGACACGACTATCAAGCATTGTTCTTTTAAGTATTAAAAGTAACATACTTAAATCATTAGGTTTTTCTCAAATGATTGAAAAATTTACAGCAACGAAATCTTAAAGAGTATTAATGTAATTTAATGTAATTAACTATTTTTATTGTATTATATCATTTATTTTTTGTGTTCATTTTTTAATAAAAATAAATATTTTTTTTCAACTATATTTTTGATTAAAATATTTTTTTTTCAGTATATTTTAATAAATTATATTATATTATTATTTATTACATGAAATTGAAAAACTATAGTCAAAGTTTCTAAGGATAGGCTTAGGGATTCCAAAATCTTAAATCCAACCCTGTATATAGGTTTAATGATTTATTATTACTGCAATAACGTTATTACACAACATAAATGATTAATTTAGAAATAAATGTTAATACAAGTACTTACATAATATTTCCATATTATAAATTATACATTTTAATTGTATACATGTAATACTTAAATTGTATAGCTCTTTATTACTTTTTTTTTAAAGAAGTTTATTTTTAAATGATTTTTTATTAATTTGAAAAATAACATATTTGTATATTTTTGTTTTTAAATCGTAGATATATTTTATAATAATAACATAAACAATACGAGTAGATAGCAGTTTAACTATTAAAAATACGAACTATTATTTATCCGACTGTAAATATTCGTTAGTAATTAAATACATTTTATTTAGTGATCGAAAGGAGTGCAGTTCAAACATTACCTTTTTAAACTGAGTACAGCTCGACATAAATAAGTGCAATTTGACCCGTCTTTTGTTAAATACTGGTACTGATTCTGATATTGCAATACCGATATCGAATTTAAATACTATTAACCCTTCAAAAACTGTTTAATCTTTGTTAATATAACTGATATATAAAATTTCCACTCTGTGTAGAAACTACTCATTTTAGAACGTATTTAGGGATACTGAAGGGATAATTAGAGGTGCTTTAGATAGAAAATTTTTCTAAAATTTAGTGGTGGCAGAATTATTACTATATTAATTTAAATACAAAAATCGCTGTTAATCACCATTTGTCAATAAAGAAACATAAACATTTATTATCATGACTATTAATTCGTGTAAAAATCAAATTTATTTTATTTATGAAGTATAAAATTAGGTTTTTTTGTCGTGCTTGGTAAAATATTATTATTACAGTTATAGATAATATAACATTATTAAATTTCTATTGTATAGTTATCAAAATTATCTATTTGATTTTATGAACCTAATTTATTACTAGTTAAGTATATATCAATATTATATACCTACTACTAAGTTATTTTAAATTTATTTAATATATTTAATATTTACTCGTAAATTATACACGTATTATATCTAAAGTAGATTAGACCTTAAGCTCGAATGATTATTTAATGACAAAAAAATTTAAAGATTTGATATCCCTATATCAAAGTTAAGTATTCGTAAATTCTTGGAAACTTTTTGTATCCAAATTTTAACTAGTGACGAATTGTTTTTAAGGAGGATAATAGAGGGTCATCAAAACTTTACTAAGAGCGTCTTAACTCTGAATATGTCTCTGAATTATCTTGTCAATCATAGACTTAGCCCTTCTACCAATTTTTTTTTTTTTAAGTTTTAATACCTTCTATAGAAAATCCTGTTACATTAAATCTACAATCTATCATTAAATCACTTAAATATATTTTTTTATTCAAAATTTAGCCAAAAAACTCTCCCTATCCCAAATTATCTTCTACCTTGTTCCATCTACGTTCACCGCCCGACTACCTACAGCCTGTAGATAATGATTTGTAAATATAACATAAATTACACTATAACAAAGTAGTTTTTTTTTTTTTGTTTCAAATCATGTATTCTAAGACCCACCATCGTCACTCACCCCACGTACCGACTTAACCATCCTCAGTAGATACCTATAAATTATTATATAATATTATGTTAATTTCTTGTTATAGGATAATGCGGATGCCTACGCCCGACGAGGACCCGTCCTTTTGGTCGTACTTATAATAATAAACTTAATTCTAAACAATATTATGTTAATCTAATAATATTTGTCATACCTCGTACCTAATTTTGGTATACACGCCGCCTACCGAACTCTATAATTTTCATTACAAAGCTGTATATATAAATATATATATATATATATTAGCACGTTGTGTATAATTATTATAAATATTGAAACTTAACCATTATTATTACTATCGAATATAGATAATTTCGTATCGTCTGTCATAATATGTACAATACTTTCAAGGCAACTGGAACTGGTGTTTTCAGAAAAAAAAAAATAAATATATCACAATCGAAAGACGTGCGATCGAGTGCATAGCGGATGGTCAAGCGCCAGCCGTGAAGGTCACACGGCCGGTTATACAATATATATATATATACATATATAAACAATATATGATAATAATAATAATAATAATAATAATAATAGTAATATATAGATAAGGGTTGAGGCGGACGCATAAATAAAAATAAATAACGCTAATATCAATGATAATATAAACATGGAACAATGTGCTTACGTGTGTGCGAGTCGGTCACGGCGACGACGACGGCGGCGGTGACATGTGTACGACGGAGCACCAGCGGCAGTAGCGGCGGCCCAGTAGCAGCAGCAGCGGCGGCAGCCCGAGCAGCACCCGTACAGCAGCCGATTTGTTGGCCGGCCGACGGGATAGCGTGTACTGCGAGGCCGCGGGCCGTGGCCGCCGCGTGTCGAGCGCTCGTCACGGCCCGCGGCGGCGGGGCGGCGCGCGCAAGCTTGGGGGCGCGGTGGTGCCGCAGTGCGGTCACAGGTGACGAGCCAAAAGTTCTCTCTCGGGTCGACCGCTCTCCAAGAGCGCCCGCCGCGCCGCCCCTCCGCCGTCTAGATCGCCGTAACCCCTACCGCCAACTACCCGCCCCGCCCTCCACCCCTCACCAAAATGTTATCCGCCGCGTCCATCCGGAGGAAACTGCTGACGAAGATTTTCGCTCATTTTTTCGTTTTTGTTCTTTTGCAGTTTTTTTTTTTTTTTTAGTACGAGTTTTTTTGCCTTTTTAAATTATAATATTATTTAATTATAATAATATCGTTATTATCGTCGTCATTAATACCGTCAAGTCGACTGAAATGTAATATTAATACAATTAAAATTATAACTTAATGAATCGAAAAACTTATAATCGTAGGTGTTAAATTGTAAGCATTGTGTACACAAAGGTTTGCGAGCGAATCGACGAAAAAAATAAATCGAGTTCAGTCAACTACGATAAGAACGTTATGTTATAAGTCAGATTTGTTAACACACAATGTAGGTATTTTTGAATCTAATGGTTTAAAGCTGATTTCGAGAAAAATAACACAACTTGGTTGTTAAAGGAAGAGTAGTAATATAATTATTTTTATTATTACTTACATAGTGATTGTACAACTTTCAAATGTTTTAAATTACAACTAAGGATGTTGTAAACAATGCATCTCACTCTTCCTTCTTGTTGCAAATTAGTCGTAGTGATTTGGAAAATTATGGTATATTTGTGTCAACTGTATTATTAAATTATGGAACATTTATTTCTTTTATTTCATTTTAAATCATTGTGAATATCGATTATAGCGTGATTAAATAAAGCAATTATTAATTAATTTGTTTTAATCAGGTTTAATTGCCAGACATAGACATAAATAAACATCATTTTTAGTTATTAATGTAAAATTGTCATCAAAATTACAGGATAAAACCAAGTTATTCCAACAGAAAATACTTTAACTAGTTTAAGTTATTAAGTATTGATATTACAGAATTAACTAATTAAGTTATGTTTGAAGAAGATGAACTTTTTAACTCAGCTTTCACTTTACATTTAGTTAATTTTACCCTTTCTACCTTTTATAAATATTTAAGTAGAGGCACTGACAGCACTGACAATATAGTCGGGGATCGTCCACCACCTTGATTTTTAAGTTTGCAATGGTATTTTTATTATTATATATTACAACCCGTTGAGATATACGAATAATAAAATGTAAATTACGTGTTATTTGGATACACGTTTTACAGAACAACTTCACAAATAATATTTATAATAATATTATGTAAATGTCCATATAACCTACAACGATATATTGACAATAACGAATAACGACAGTGAATAACAGTATAATATATTAATACGTAATCATAGACGTATGTGTATTGATGAACGCTATTCGTGCCGTTATTCGAATCAACGTGTCACCGCAGTACCAGAACAGATGACGAACTGACATCGCGGTGGGGTGTATAAAATATGTGAATAAAGCATTCGGTATTTTATCTCTGTTTCATACAATTCACATTGAGTGTATATTTTACAGCTCAAACAACAATTTTAAATGAGCAATATTGTCAAATCCACCAATAATATATAGATAGGTATATAGGCTTTATACAATATTATAATAAACAACCGGAGGCTTTATTCATATTGATACTCCCCTCCACCCCTTACGATATTGGTCTGTAATCATCCTCCATAGCATGGTGTCGTGGGGACACGTAAATTCGTAGTCAAACAGCACAAATTTTAGTTATCTACATAATATATTTCATAATATTATATACAATTACATTTACAGTCATATTATTATTTATCATGACATGGCCAGATTTAGATGGGAGGGTTTTGGTGAGTAGAAAACCCTGTAGTTTTATAATTACTGAACGGTAAGTGCGGAAAAATCAATCGTAAAAATATTATCGAATGTTTTACAAAATGTATCTGTTCATGGATCAAGAATTATACGTTAAAAATTGTAGTAAACTAACGCTTTATGATGATTTCTTAATCAAAAACAATATTAGGTAACTCTAATCAGTATTATCAACTATTGTTTTTAAGTTCAAATGTATACAACTCAATGAAAAATTGTACAAAGTTTAAAGTACACAAGTATTTTATTGAAAAATTATGTATAGTATTTGTTGCTTATTATGATTTACTAAAAAAATCTAATAAATTATCATTCCTTTACAGATCTAAAAGTGTAAAAAGACTTTCATAAATTACAACAATGTAAAACGTGGTTCAAAAAAAAAAAAAAAAACGTAAAATAACAAGTGAAAAATGTGTACCGAAATTAGTTTAAAAACCAAGCTAATCTAATAATACTTGATAATATTTGATTTTATATACATAATAATTAAAAAAATATATATTTTCTTGTTAAATTTTTTTGGGCCCACATAATATAACACTCCACCCAGGGAACATTATACGTTCCAAAATCCAATACAACTTTGTAATTATTATCATTAACGTTAGTTAAACGAACCTACAATAATATAATGTAAACATACTATATTATAAATTAAGTAATATACGAAAGATTTACTTTCTAATACTGCTTTTGATAATTAGGCACCTAAGATAATAAAAGAAAAATACCGTTTACAGCCAATATTTAATAGTTAAAATCAAATACTAGGTTAAAGCGGTTTAAGTTAACGTAGTATTTGATTGAAAAAACCTGTCTTTGAAATTGTATCATAAGCATAGTTATATCACGCAAAACGGATTACAGATATTTACATAAACGAACGAATACCAATTTGCGAACCATTTCGATAAACACCAGTAGCGCACACAAATGGGTGCTTACAGGAGTATGAGTCGTTACTAATACCCTTATCGAAATCTATGGTAGGTGGTTGAGTGACTAATAAATTTGCTGATGGATAATAGTTCACTATTAAGTAAATTAATAACTATTTTAAATTATGTTAATAAGAACAAATTAATTTTTTTTTTTTTTTTTGAATATATAATAGAGTGTGTTATAATGAATATTTCAGAAACTCCTTACAAAAAATAAGTGCACATTACTGGTAAACATGTCAAATGAACATACAAAACCGGAGAAAAGGCTTAAAAGTCAAAAATATATTAAATAAATAAACGTATTAGTAATTAGCGAAATTTTGTGGATATACTTAAAGCTAACGGTTTACTAACTGTTTACTTTGTACGAAATAGTTTAGACATCGTACTTTGTTCGTTGCTAAAATTAGGTCAATTTCAACAGCCCTTACTTGCTAGTTGCTGTTGCTGTATGTTAGAATTTAGCAACAAACAATAACATGATTAAAATTTATAAAATAAAAAATACTCAAGGTAAATAAACTAAAAAAAAACTAAAGACTCCATCTAATTGAAAAAAGATTGGACTTTTATTTAAATATTTGAAAATCGAGCATATTGACAAAATGTATGGTCTCGCTTAAGCTGTTATTAATATTATAATACTCACTTAGTTTAATTTACTTTAGAGTTTGGGTTACTCATAAATGATCAAAATTAACCAACTATCATAGTTAAACACTCAATATGAGTAGTTAAAAACCACAAAAATCACTTCACTAAAAACGATTCTGAGCGGAAACGGTCAGTTGGCCTATATTTCTAAGAATATTATATTATGGACTACTAAATTGTATTGTATTAACTATTGTGTTATTGTGCTCTCTAAAGTTTTATTTTATTTTGATTGTTTTTGAGCTATTTACAAATAAATAAATAAAATATACCTATTAGTTTTTTTTAATTTTTAAAAAAACATGTTTTCACTTAGTAAAAAATCTTGGAAGTTTAAAACAAGATTATTTATAAGTTATTAGAAATATAAACTAAAATAAAAATACATGAGCGTAAATCCACAAAAAAATTTATAAATATTTTAAGTTGTGAATTTCGTAAAAATAAATAAGATTAGCAAATTATTATGTAGTTAAAATACCTAAAATTTTAAAATTGAATACAAGGTTCTTTATAACTATTTTAAGATTAAATTAAAATAAAAATTTTACCGGAAAGTCGTATAATTTTTTTTATAAATTCTCTACGTTCAAGTTTTTACATGAATAACTGATGTTCACTATTTATATAGTTTAAAGACATAATTATTTTTGGAAAAACAAATCTTTTACGTATAGGTCTACAAATTTTACTGAATGCAATGATATTTTCAAAATATTCTGATTAATTTTAAGATATTTAACTATTATTTTTATCTTGAACAATTGACACTATTTTACGGTAAGGTGGTGGATTCAATAATTAATAACAAAATTGTATTTATAAATATTAATAAGTTGATAAATACGATGTTTTCAGAAAAAGTTAAATCAAATTATCGTAATACTAATAATAAAATAAATGATTTTAATAGCAATATCATGAAATGTAATTAGTTATATTTATATAGACGTATATGAGAGACCATCTCCATTTAAAATGGTTTTTCGTATGATATATCTATCAATGAATTCAAATTTCGATTACAGAGACCCACTCAATACCTTTTATAGTGAAACCTCGATTATCCGTGTTCGCGATTAACCGTGCTCACTCTTCCGAAAATTTAAAAAAAATATGGACTGTACATATGTGTGTAGTTATAATCGAACATTCTATACGATATCGACAAACGTATTAATGGTATTTTTGACGATAATAATATGAAGATAAGCAATATTATACATCGATGATTATATTTATCGAATCACCTTCAATAAACTTTTGGCCTTCACTAGATCACTATCGTCGTAAATATCGTTCCGACGTAATCTAATAATAAGTGCTAAGCGAAAACGTGTCGTTTTTTCTTTAAAGAAAAGATTGTTAATAATTAACCAAGCTGTAGATTAT